GCTAATGTGTAGCCGGCTAAATTACCAGGTCACCACCATATTTAATGAGAGAGAAAGATATGGAATATGATGTTAGGTTGTACTACTATTGTTCTGGTATACTATACTGTGTACATAATATGATTATTTTATTGAGGGTAGAGGCGCTACATAAAACTTGGTGAGCCAGCCAGGAGTTGTGTTAAGTCCTTTGAACAGGAGGTTGAGCAGTGTGACATTTTATTGTATTTTTCTGTGAACATTGATGCAATTTAATTCACATAAGACTGTGACAATACAAACATGAATGCAATCAAATCTGAAAATGTTCATGTGCCTAATTCACTACTTGCAAGTGGTGTAACTGGTAGTGATGTCGATAAAGAAGTAATTGACTACTTGGGACAGTATGGTAAGATTGAGAGGGTAATTACAGTTACCAGCAGTGAAGCTAAGTTCCAACACACAGCTATAGTGGAATATAGTTCAGGTGGAGCTCTTGAGTATCTTAAGAACATCTTACCTGTTGATAGACCCTCCAGTGACCGAACACTGTCCATCACATTGAGCTCTTGTCTGAGCTGTACACAGCAGATAGAGGTTCGACCTTAACTCAGACTTACCTAACTGAACTGAAGTATGTCTAAGCAGAGATTTTGAAAAAGTTTTGCTTGACGAACTAGCTAGGATTCAAGAGTCCACCAAACCTAAGACAACTGAACCAGATGCATCAGGGATCAGACATGAACCCCAGCATGTAAGCCCTGCACACATAGCTGATGAAACTCCTATTAATATAGGTGACAGTAGGACGGAAATGTATTGCAGATGTCAGTGTGTCAGGAGTTAATTCTAGACATCTCCTTGATTCAGGGTCCCGGGTGACCACAGTAACTGCTTCTTTTTCCAAAACTCACCTGTCAGAACACCGCATTCAGCCCTTCCAAGCCCTGGATATTGAAGGTGCCAATGGTGAAAATGTCTCCTATTTAGGCTATATGCCCATCACTCTCCAGTTCTCAAAAGAGTTTGTTGATGCTGAGCCTGAGCCTTAGTGGTAACAGACCACCTTAGTAATGGTGACTCACCTGTACTCATTGGCACAAATGCACTCGACATTTTATACGAGGAACATTGTATTGATAAGAACCTAAATGACTTGTCCTCTGTGTATGGATTTGGTGGTCTGACTGAATTGGTGTGCATTGACTTCTTTTCCCTAGAGCTTGACAGTCACAATGCCAATGACATCTTGGTCATCAAAGACCATTTTACCAAATACGCGGTTGCCATGCCAACCAAAGACCAGCGGGCTATAACGGTCGCCAAAACCCTTTGGGAACAGTTCTTTGTGCACTACGGCTTTCCTGAGCAGCTGCTGAGTGATCGGGGCAGGGATTTCGAATTCCAACTCATCAAAGAACTCTGCGCGCTATAAGGCATCACTGAGGTGCACACAACGCCCTGTCACCCAAGAGGAAACCCCGTTTAATCGAACCCTTTTAGGCATGTTGGGAACCTTAAAGGACAAGGAGAAAAGCCATTGGCGAGATTATGTAAAACCACTTACCCATGCCTATAACTGCACCAAGAACGATGTCACAGGTTTCAGTCCATACCAATTGATGTTTGGACGTCAAACTCGATTACCTGTGGACATTGCCATCTGCTTACCTGTGAAAGATGGCTCTCCCAAATTCCATTCTCAGTATATGAAACACCTGAAAGCATGCCTCGAGGAAAGTTGTCAGATTGCCACCAGGAATTCACGAAAGGTTGATGATCGGAACAAACACATCTTCGACAAGGCAGTGCGAGAGTCGACACTAGAGGAAGGAGATCAAATGTTGGTGAAAAATCTGAGATTCCGGAGTAAACACAAGGTTGCAGACAAGTGGGAGTCCACTATGTACAAGATTCTGGAGAAAGTGGGAGACTTACCTGTGTACAAAGTACAGTCCATCAGTGGTGATGGTCCCGTTCGAACTCTACATTAGGGACCTGCTGCTTTCTTGTGGTAACCTGTTTGAAGAGGAGGGAACAGAACCAGCCAAACCTAAGGTCTGCAGGCCAAAAACTAGACAGAGTCACCCTCAACTCTTAGAGGAACTCTCAGAACCTGAGGACGATTTTTTGTCTATCCTGCCCAGTCCTCTTTTACTGCTGAAGGAAGGTTCACTCAGGTGTGTGAAATTCTGAGGAGGCAGTAACCCAATGAAAATCCAGAGGATGGAGGCTTGCTAGCCATGCCATCTAGTTCCTTGACCTCCCAGCTTCAGGATGGTCTTGACGACAGCAATGCACCTGCTGAACATGCTGAAAAACCTCCTGAGTTGGTAGAAGGAGAGGGGCCTGAGGACACTGTTGAGTGGCCCTCTGCTGAAGAGGATAGTATACAAACAGACGTGACAAAAGAAAATGAACCAGATCTGGCAACTGAAACAGATGTGACCAACAAACCGAATATGACGAATGACACATATATGACAAATGGAAAGAACCGAACATGACAAATAAAACTGATGAGGAGGAGAAAACTGCACCTGGAGGAACTGTGGAGGTTCTACATGATGCTTAGCCAAACCGCATTCAAGAATCCGAGATGTCTGACAAACAAACTGAAAGTGAAACTGTGACAGATGGAAACACAAATGACTCCACACGGAGGTCAGAAAGGTCCCGACAACCCCCTGACCATTTTCACTTTTTCTGTTAGTTAGCACAAAATAGTAAAGGTACACACTTGTTTTTTGGAGCTTTCAACCATACATTTTACTTTCAGCAGCATTACAACAGTAGAACGTCACAGAAAGATTAAGAAAAACATTTTCATCCAACATTTTGAACAGTGTCAAGTGTTACAATGTTTTGGTATTCAAATTTCCTGTCAGATACAGTCACCAGTTAGTAATGTACAGCTACAGTATAAGCATGTAACGCAAATCAAAATGCCTGTTTACTTTTTTCATGATATGCTAAAGCAGGCATCACCAAATGGCGGGCCTCGGTCCGGATCTGGACCGAGTGATGGTTCTGTCCGGACCCGTGATCAATCTCTGACAAATTCATGAGAATAGATTTTCATGGAGCATTTTTTATGACGGTCGCGGCTATAGACAGGGCGCGGCCGCTGCTTCTCCAGTTAATACGGCAAAAGCTCCACTCGAGCCAATCAAATCGTTTGGTTACCCTGCATGGCCGCTTTGCACTTGCCTATACAGCAGAGCAGAGAGGAAGAGACAGTGATGACAGCATGGCTTACTCCAAAAGAAAGAAGGCTGATGAGGAAAACCATTGCTTTGAAGATGAGTGGACGGAGAAATGTATGTTCATTCTTCCGTCAGGCAGTTCACAAGATAGTTTACTTTTTTACTTGAAGTGGAGGCCTTCAGTTCTTTCAGAGTTTTTTTTTTAATATATATATATATAATTGTGTTGAACCACGGTTCAAAAGCAATGTGTGGTTTTCATTGCTTAATTTTCATAAAATGTTTTATTTATTATTGCTTTTGTCAGATTCAGGTTATTTCTGTGACCGATGTGGGTTTTTCTTTCATTAATCGAGGGGTACCAACAAGTTTGTCCACGTCTGTATGTAAAAGCTAAACACATCCTGCACTGAAAATTGACAATAAGTATTGTTGAAACCATGAAAATCTGGCCATAGGGGAAGGCTACAAGACACAAACTGGCTTCGGTTCGGACCTTTTACTTGGAGGAAATTTTAAAAACTGGACCTCAGTGACTTTTAATTGAATACCTCCATGCTAAAGTAGTCACACAATAAAAGCTGCAAAACTAGTTAATTCACTCTAAATGATCATTTTGAGGAAGGAAAACTATAGTTGAAGGTCAGGAGAAAGTAAACAAAGACATTTTTTCAGTATTTTTCATGGGCCTAATTTGATTTAATAGCCTTGTTAGATGATATTCTTGGCAGTGTGACTGTTGTACATGTGTTCATTGTGATTTGGTTCTGTAATCAGTTACTGATTTCGACCTAATTGTAACTTTAAGCAATTTTGGGTTGATCGTGACGACATCCTGACACCACTGTTACACTCTTCTCTCATGCAGACTGCTTTACATCAAATAAGATATTTTGGGATCGTTGCTGGTCAGTCATGGATAGTTCTATGTAACTGTCTTACTTTATGACTCTTGATTGCTGGTGCCACAATTAACAATGTTCTAGTGTTTGTCATTTTATAATAAAAGCCGCTTACAAAAGGCTTTTTTTCAGACAATCTTCATGAGGCAGATAACATTTACAAGGACCCACAGGCTGATCCCTGCAGGAATTTAAGAGGTTAGAAATATGAAGGTCAACCCATGCTCTAGCAAATATCAGGGATGTGGACTCACAAAAAGAACAGTGCAAGATGCCATTCTTTAATAAAGTCTGTGTTTTACTGTCACATTTTCCCACAGAAATAACTCTTGGGTTTAAGGTTACAGGACTTTAGAACATGACAAATTTACAAAGATGATACCTCAGGCTTACATGGCCTCATTTGCCCTCCAGTGCTAATTTAATTGTACTCTATATCAGGGAAATTATATCAATACTTTATACCATGTGTTTTCCTAATTTGATATTTCATCTCCGTGTGAGAATGCATTACTGTGTGCGTATATATTTTTATAACTCATGTTATGGGGACATGTGTGTGTTTGTGTGTGGTTAAAACGTATTCTGGTGTTAACAGTTAATTTTAATCATATGCATTTTTCAACTCTTTTAAACTTTTTAAAAATGTTCTCATTTTCTGAGTTCCAGTGTACTGATCTGTTCTAAATCATAGGGATTAGACCCTGATGCAGATTAATGTTGACATAGGTCTACTGTATGGCCATGTTAGCAGATCCCGAAGTTGTAATCTCATTCTGCTAATTGTGTGAAACGCAATAAGCACTGTAGTCCACAGCCATTGCGTATTTAGTGTGACATGCCTAAGACCACTTTGAAAAGATCTTGAGTTCAATACCGATACTGCTCTAACAACGTGTCTGTGTTTCAGCTCATACTGGAAATGTGATGGGAGAGTTTGACCGTTTGTACGAGCAGCAGTATGCAGTGGCTCTCTTCAACAAAATCCGCTTTGACATAGAAGGAGTAGGTGGCCCACAACCTCAAATGCTCCACCGCAAGGTAAAGCATCTTCTTCCACCACACTGTTTTAATTCCATGCACTACCTCATTGACTTTTTGAATAAAGGCATTTTGTTTATTTTAGCAGAGAAAGCATAGGTGAACCAAATTTATTCAACAATAGCTCAGTCAGCCATGACAGTAAGTCAGTGCACACAATAACCAGACCCTGGATCTTTGCTTACCTAAATAGAATTTTAATGCCATTAGTAAAATTAGTAAAATGTGTCCTTTTTCTGCTATAGCATGCCAAAATGCCTGCTGCGAGAAAGATCGATCGTAGAACTTCCCCACAATGTTTTTTTATTTTTAAGTAAAGCATGAAAACACATTTCTTGTGGGAAAACGAATGTTTACATTCAAAAGTCAACATTTTGATATTGTAAGACTTACTACTAAGCTGAAATTCTGTAATAGTTTTATTTATTTATTATTATTATTATTATTATTATTATTTTATTTATTTATTTATTTATTTTTTAAATGATTCAAAACAAAATGTGACTTTTACCTAAAAAGTGAAAAATTTTATTAGGTATCAAACTATTTCAGATTTTTTTTCCTCTTGGAAATCTAAAGCCTGACTTACCAGTATTTTTGTTTTTCATAGTTTTCTCTTCTTTGTAGAAATGTGCTTCCACACACTTGGAAAAAAAAAAAGCAGATTAAATAAATGAAGGAACATGAACTAATGGATTCATTTGAGATATGTATTTTTTTTGTGAAACACAGGTTGGCTTTTTTGCTTCTTCTCTCTTAATTACTCTAGTTTGGGTTGGAATGTGTTTTCTCCCACAGGTTCCCCTGGAGAACAAGTCCATCTTCTCTGGCTCCCTCACTCAGTACCTGGAGGAGAACAAGAAATGGAGAAACCACTTTGTCTTTATCTCAGATTCCTACAACATCGACTATTATGACAACAAAGCGGTAAAGCTGGGGAGCTGGTTGTACTGTCTGCATTACACGATGCTGTTTTGATTTACTGTCTAACGCATTTGCTCTTTGCCCTGTCTTAACTACCAGTCCCATGATAGATGCCACATTCCCAAAGGAACCATCAATTGTGCAGGCTACAAAGTGCTGACATCGATGGAGCAATATTTGGATCTGATAAGCAACAGCCTGCCTGGTGAGGAGGGAAGGGGAGCAGAGACAAAGCTGCATTATTTTGTGCTGATAACTGTGAAACTGTTTCCCTTATTACCATCCATCCATTATTTGTACAGTCTGCAAATGACCTTTCATTTTAAATCAGAAATTACAATACGAGTAACGTCAGGCACAGCTGTTTACAGGAATGCAAATTGTCTACCTATGGAGGATATTCTAATCATAATCTAATTTAACATTATTAAGACTTACCAGAACTGAATTTGAAAACCATTCATCAAACTTTCATCATTATTTACAGGATCTGTACAAATTCCAAACACACAACATAAATAATGAAAAAAACACAGGGCTCCAGACTAACTCTTTCACTGGAAGCACACGACACACTTTCTCATTTCGTTGCACCTCCCACCTGGTCACAGGGAAAACGTATGACTTGCTGAACATGTTCTTATCGATAGACACTACGATTTACCGATGCTCCCTACACGCCGTGGGCTTTAGGCAGGCTGTGGTAGATGCTGCTTGGTGGCTGTGGTGTGCCCTGATAGGTATGCGACCAAAAATGACTTTAAAAATGACTTCACGAGAAGACCTCATTTTTAAGCGTAAATACTGCAGTGCACCGAAGTTATAGAAGTCCTACTTTCCACCACTGGGGTCCACACAGAGGCTTCCTGTGCCGGTTACTAATACAGCTTCATGATCATCATGCTCATCAATTCACACACTCTCAAAATAAAGGTCGCAAATGCAGTCTGGAGCTATTTGAATAAAAAATTAGCGCTTCTCTCTTTCTGCTCTGCAAACTTCTCTATTACTTTTTGGTTGAAGTCACTCATCTCTGTGACCAGTCTTTTCTCCATTGACAGCACAGCCAATGCACTAAGCCGTCACGACAGTAGCGGTTATCTAGGAGAAGAGCGACGAGACAGGCCGTGTGACGGCGTGTGATGCTATCCATCAATATTTAATTAATCATTAAAAAATGTTTTTTTAAAAAGTACAGGGGATACAATTATGGACACTGACCTCAACAGTAGCTTGCTTACATTAGTCATTTGGTGTTGATTCTGTGTCCTAGACTTGTTTTCAGCTTGTGAGCTGTGGCAGCAAGCCATTAATCACCACAGAAGATTTTGTCATGGTGGCCTGTTGCTAGTTAAATCCCCACAATGCACTCTGCTTGCCAACATAGAACTGCCCATAGTTGGAGTGACTGCCTCCTCAGGTCAATACAGTAAAAATCACAAACTGCACTTTTCCATTGCATTAAATAATAAAAGGCTCCACCTGAAGGGGCAACCAGGTGCTCCAGTTAATGAACAAATAGTTTTCTGACATGCATGTCTTTCTTCTGCCTAATTGGTTAAATTGTTAATCGGTTCCATTTTTAAGGCAATAATTGGAAAAGCAATTAATCACTAGTCTGTCTACTTATCGTACATGAAAGTATGTTTGTGATTTTGGAGAGGTCTGTGTTTGTCCCTCATTCAACTAAAGGCACACACACTGTCCTTGGCTCTCTCTGTAGTGTGTGATGTAACGTGTAATGTACAAGTTTTTCGCAAACAAGGGGCTTTGAAACTTCCCATTATTTTGCATGAGATTAGCTTGGGCAGTTTGAGGGAGAGGTCAAACGTGTATGGAGATAATCCTGGATATCAGATCAATAAGTCAACAGATGAAAATATTTATAACCCTCTGTGCCTGCCCTCTCTCTGCTACAAGGCATGTTTACAAGGAGGATGCATTTGGGCTGTTTTGCTGTAAATAGCCATGACTAATGGAATAGAAGTTAACACAAAGCTAGCATGAGTACTTCTATATGTAACTAGTAACTACTTTTACTGAGCTATTAATTTAATTCTCAAACTGACTATACTATAAAGGCTTACTTTACTGGTAGCACGTTTTGATAATCAGATGATCATCCCTACAAATACAGCAGCGCAGTTCTTGTGTTCGTGATTCTGTTCTCGCGTATATAATTCTGCTCTTAGTAATTCATGGCTGTACATTCTCAATGTAGACTTAGAGACTGAGCAGTGCTTAGGATTAATTTTGTGCCCTCTCAGATCTTATATCTTAAATGTAAAACCCTGTTTCTTGGAAATTACTGTAAGGTAAAAATCAATTGTTTTTTCACTTGCGTTAGGGTGCAGCATCAATGCTTACCGGATTACATGGACATGCAATGTTTTATTTTAAGAAATGAAACAAGCAATTTCTTAACTTTTAAAAAAAGATATATTCTAATTGAAACAAACTGATATCTTTCTCTGACCTTAACCAAGAGCTGCAAGTGTCTAAACATATCCATACATTTTTTTTTAATGCTACAGTCACTGTAAGGGGATATTGTGGGCTGCAGTGTCAGAAATGTTGGCAGAAAAATCATTCATTATCAGTGGACACAGAAAGTATAATCTAGTCTTCGTTGTGTTTTCTGTGTTGCCTTTTAGTTGTATAGGACTATAAAGCGTCTACATGATAGAGTTGATATATATTACAATAGAAGATCCTCCAAAGTCTCCCAGAAATATAAAGATACCTTGTGTTGCAATTCAGTATGACATAATGTATTTGGTTTGTCCAAAATGATTCAGTCTTCATCTATTTGGCATGTTGGACCTGCTGATGATGACATTCATCTTGTCAAATACATGTAGAGACACTCTTTTAAGAATCATAATATGCTGCATGTTTCAGAAGACATGCAGAAAGTTTAAACTGACAGCTCAGTGTTTTTATGTTGTGTACATTTTTTGTAGGTGTGAAAGCGAAGGTGGGAAGTTCACCCTTCCTAAAGTGTGCCACGGAGTTTCCTCTGATCCTGTGGCACCCTTACGCCTGTCACTATTTCTTCTGTGTGTTGACCGAGAAAGAGCAGCAGAAATGGCATGCAGTCCTCCAGGACTGTGTCAGACACTCCAACAATGGTAAGTCCTACCAACCAGTGATCAACGCAAATTACTGCACAGACATCGTTGTTAACTGCATTGAAATGCATGGCAAATAAGGAGCCCTGCCGTAATGCTCCATGGCAGCTTCATAGGATTAATGTAGACTTGAGTACGTGACTGCCAAGGGCTACAAGCTGAATAGAGTAGCCCAAAGCCTTCTAACAAGTGCCCTGTAGAAGAGTGTGTGAGATTGAATTGGTCAGACATATTTGGTCATTTGCTCCCTGTTTACTTGCCTTATTGCCACATCGGCAAAATTACAGCTAATGATACAACTGCTATCTTGAGTTAGCAATTTCATCTTGCCATGCTTGCATTTCCATTGTAGACCTCCAATTTTATGCTGTACAGGAGTTTATCCAGCCCCTCCTGTATTTTGAGGAACACACTCAAAAGTTAATGTGAATGCATTTTTCTTTGAGCTCATGATCTTCAAAATTGATTAACTAGGCATGTGATCAAAGAAAGTTGGTTGAAAAGCAAGAAAATCCTTTGACGTCAGCCTTATACAGAGTAGGAGCCCATTTTTTTTTTACAACTGGTGCTATCAGGGATCATTTCTGTTTTACACAGCACTGCAGTACAACAGGTTGTGAACAGACTCAACAAATCACAGCAATGGCACAGAATTACAAGAATTATTTGAAAGGTCCTAGGTTTTAACATTTGCATGACATTTACGACTCTTTATCTTGGGATTGTTCCTGATTTTATGGATGCGAATGATGCTTACCTGTTCAAGATTATGCTGGCAGCGAGAAAAATCCCATCACAAAACAGTGGCTCCAGAGGGATTGCCCTACCACAGACCTATTTGTTAACATTGTTAAGCAGCTGCAAACCCTAGAGCAAATGACCTATTCTATAAGACTCCAAAAAGACCAAGGGGAAACATGATGGAGAAAATTGTGTATGTTTTTAGCCACTGAAACAGACATTAACTGCAATCAAGATACCCTGTCATTGTGATGCACAGACTTGCAATTCAATTCTGTTATTATTAAGGTCCGAGGACTGCTGCAGCAAGTAGGGGTCCTTGCTCTGCCTCCTGTCTTTTCCTCACTGTCAGTGTCTGTAAACCATACAGCATCACTGGTCTCACCACTGTTTTGAACACCTATCCTTTCATTCTTGCTGATACTCTTGTATCACACGTGACACTTTTCTCCACCCGTTCCAACCTGCTTGCACACGCTTCTTCAGCTCTTTTCCACACACTCCTTTGCTCTGGACTGTTGACCCCAAGTGCTTAAAATGCTCCACCTTCTTTATCTCTATTTCCTATAACCTCACCCTTCCACTTGGGTCCATTCACACACATGTGTTCTGTCTTGCTGCAGCTAACCTTCATTCCTCTGCTCTCTAGGCCTTACCTCCACCTTTCTAGATTTTCTTCCACCTGCTTCCTGCTCTCACTATAGATCACAAAATCATCTGCAAACATCACAGCACATGAAGATTCCTGTCTAACCTCATCTGTCAGCCTGTCCATCCCCATTGCAAACATGAAGGAGCTGAGAGCTGATCATTGATGCAGTCCCACCTCCACCTTGAACTCCTGTCACACCTACAGCACAGCTCACCTCTGTCTTACAGCCCTCATACATGTCCTGTACCACTCTAACATACTTCTCTGCCACTCCAGACTTCCTCATGCAATACCACAGTTCTTCTCTTGGCACCCTGTCAAATGCTTTCTCTAGATCTACAGACACAATGCAGCTCCCTCTGACCTTCTCTGTACTTCTCTTTCAACATCCTCTCTTTCCTCATCCTGTAGTACTTTTTCATGGCATGAAACCATACTGCTGCACACAAATGCTCATTTCTGCCATTAGTCTAGTCTTCCACTGCTCTCTCCCATACCTTCATTGTATGGCTCATCAACTTTATTCCTCTGTAGTTGCCACAAATCTGCACATCTCCCTTGTTCTTAAAAATTGACACCAACAAACTTCTCAGTCATTCCTGTCATCTTATCCCTCTCTAAGATCTTGTTGAACAACCTTGTCAGAAACTCTACTTCCACCTCTGCTATACATTTCCATACCACCACAGGTATATCATTATGACCAACTTTCCACTCTTCATCCTCTTCAATGCCCTCCTCACTTCACACTTACTTATCTTTGCTATTTCCTGGTCCATAACCAAACCCTGCTACTTACCTTCTAGCCTTGCTACCTTTCCACTTCGTCTCCTGAACACACAGTATATCCACCTTCCTCCTTGGCATCATGTCAACCAACTCTCTAGCTTTTCCTGTCCTAGTCCTAACATTTAAAGTCCCTAGTTTCAGTCCTAGACTCTTCTACACTTTCCTCTTTTCCCTCTGCCTATGAACACGCCTTCCTCATCTCCTTCTTCAACCAACAGGAGCCATTTTTGGTCTTATTCTAGTGTTTTAGAAACTAACTCGGTAACAAAAAAAGGAAGCCTTTTTTTCTTTTCTTCTTCTCAACCAATTACAGCCCCCTGTAACTCCCAAAGCAACACCACTGCCCCCTTGTGGACTCCATGAAAAATCCCTATTGCATTGTTTTTAGCTGTATGTACCTTTCAACTCCAACATGAACCACTGTGTAAGTATTTGTACTTAAGCTACAGCAGATTTGCATATTTGATTTGGCATAGGTTTTATGTCAGATGCCCTTCCTGACACAACCCTCTGCATTTATCCAGGCTTGGGACTGGCATAAGTAGGATATTGGCTTGTGCCACCTAGAAGCTGCATTCCATGTTTTTACCTCCCACCTAATTATAACTCAAATCATTAAGAATTTATTAAACCCTTGGTTCATTCTTCTTTTTTTTCCAATTAAGTATTTAGTTCCTTAATACTCCTTTGTTTATATTTAACAATGTTCTAGTGTCAACAATGTCATCATAAAAATCTATGTTTTTTCAATGATTTTATCAAAAATTATTTAACACCAAAGTTTGTAATAATGCAAGTATTTTTCAAACAGTCGATATATTTTATTTTATTTATTTGTTTATTTTTTTTGCATATTTTTAAAAGGGTGCAATGTTGTGATTCCCACTTTATCCATTTGTGTCACTGTTTGAGTACATAAACCCAGATGCAATTGTACAGAAATGTGTCCGTTTAGCTTGTTGTCCCAGTGACATGATGGAGCTGCAGTTGGTTCAGAGCAGCATTTTCTTTGATTTTGGAGGACCATCCGCAGATGAAGATGCAACTGAGGTTGCTGATGAGCAGTTTGTTTATTGCCACTCACTAATCAAATTCATTAAGTTCCCAAAGCACTCTGAACAAAACAAGTGTCAAAATAAACTAATCTGTAAAAAAAAAAAAATAATCAGCATCCAAAGGGAAGTTGGAACTGATAATGAACCTTATATGATTAGCCTCAGGCACACCTGTACAATAATCATGCTGTCTTATCAGCATCTTTATATGCCACACCTGTGAAGTGGATGGATTGTCTTGGGAAAGGAGAAGTGCTGACCAACACAGATTTAGACAAATTTGTGAACAATATTTGAGGGAAATAGGCCTTTTGTGTACATAGAAAAAGTCTTTGATCTTTGAGTTAAGCTCATGAAAAATGGGAGCAAAAACAAAAGTGTTACATTTATATTTTTGTTCACTGTATTTTTTACCTGTTGAATCAGTCACACAAAATAAACAAACTTTCTTTTGATTTTTGTATTCAAGTATTTCAATTTAAGAAGCATTTAAAATGTTTTTTTTAAAAAACATATTATATTATTGTGACATGCAACTGCTTGTGGCCCAGAAAAAATCACGAATTCAGTTATGCATTTTCATTTTTTTTCAAAGATAGCATCATGAGAATTTACAGGGTTCCTCCATCTCAAATTCTCAGGGGGGCTCCTGCTCAAACATCTCTGATTTACTTGAAACTTTTTTTTTTTAATGCTATGTATATCTACAATGCTATCTGTGATTTTTTTTTTTTGCTTGATATATCAAATACTTGCTGTGCATATTTTACTTTATTTATTTATTTTTTTATTGCCCATTGACCCACTTTCAGCATATTATTTCACACATTAAAATTTGATGCTATGTTTAGATGACAATATCTCAGGAAATATGAAGGATAAAGGCCTGAAATTTTTACAGTTGTTTCTCGGACCTTTGATTAAGACGTGGCAGTATTTATAGGTGGCCTTATTCAAGTAGAATAGAGTTCTGGAGTTTCAAAATGTTTCTTCAAATATAACTGAGAGAAATCATTTTTGAAGACAGGCATACAATGCCATTTTCAGTCACTTTGGTCATCAGGAGCTTCAGTAAGAAGCAACAGGAATTCCCTTTTAGTTTCTGCAAGACATTTCACCTCCCATCCAAACCAGGTGGCCCAACAGCAACTGCAACAATAATGATTGTGAAGCTACCAGTTTACACAGTAAAGGACATGAATCAGCCATGTCAGGAGTGACTCAAGATGTTAATGATGGTGAACCTTTCAGAGGAAAGACCTTATCAATTCTACAGTTCTATAATTTCATTTTTCATACGCTTTTATCCAAAGCGACGTACATCTGAGGGTAGATACAACACAAGCAAGGATCTAGTCAGGAAGAACAACTACCTGGATAAGAGCCATAGAACAAGTTCAAGTGTGATAGGACATCGGTGCCTACAGGCAGTGAGGGAGGTAAACAGAATAGGAATATATATATATGTGTGTGTGTGTGTGTGATATATGTGTGTATGTATATATATAGTCAAGTGCAGAGATGTTCAGTGAAGGGCTGGGTCTTTTTAGTCTTTTCTTAAAGATTGAGAGGGACTTTGCAGATTGAACACAGTTTGGTAACTCGTTCCACCACCGGGGAACCACAGAGGAGAAGAATCTAGCTATCGACCTCAGGCCCTGTTGTGGTTGTTCTATCAGGTGCTTTTTGTTGGCTGAGTGTCGTGAGAGGGAGGGAGCGTAGACCTAAATGAGAGGGTTCAGGTAGGAGGGAGGTGTTTTCATTGTAGTTTTGTTTGTTCAGTAATCTGAGCAGCAGGGTGACATGCTGTTTTAGGCTGGTTGAAAACCAGACGTGCTGCTGCATTCTGGATCATCACTGTGTTATAGGTGCTTGATAAATGGTGTCGTGGCCCTCCTCCTCTGTTTAGGGACTGCTGTTGCAGTTTGACATAGATGGCCTCCTCCACTCCCCTCTCAAACCATCTGTCCTCTCTGTCCAGAATGTGTACACTGTGTCCCTTATCCTTCAGATACAGGTTGAATGCTGAGTCTACTGTGTTAAGCCATGCACTTGTGGAACTGTTGTTTGGTCTTCTCTAAATACAAGTCTGTGCACTTGTGTGGGTGTTTTATCTATGAGGTGAACCACTTTTTGCCCTACTGCTGCTGAGTCTAAAGTGCACTGGTATGTTGTGTTATAACAAAATCCTTCTCAGACACTCCAGCTACATATGGGATGATGATGTTATTCCACCTGTATTTTCTTCTGTTTGTTTTTTGTTGACTTTCTGAAAGTTGGGATAGCCAAACTTAGGCCATGATAAGTGTTTTCTTATCCTGTGTATATGTTAGGGTTAGGTTCCCTTTAACCTCTCTGTTTGTAGGGAAATTCTCAGTCTGAATCTGTAAGGTTCTGATGATCCTCAGGTTACATTTCTATGGGTGGTGGTTCACAGTCAGCAGATGTTGGTGTGTGTGCGAGGCTTTTTTTTTTTTGAAAACTTTGATGCTAAAGGCTCTGTCTTCCTCAGTGTAAACAGCACAGTCCAAGAAAGGTTATTTGTTTTCCCTTACACCTTCACTTGTGAACCTGATCTTTTGATATTTTTATTTTTTTTTCTTTTTTTTTCTTGGGAGTTTCCTTTCCCGGGGAACCTTGGCCAGGTAGCAGCCATACAAAATCAAAAGTTATATAGAACATATACATGATGCACAAATGAATAATAAACAGGAAAAGACCAAAACAAGAAAACAGATTCAGGGACAGTGGCCTTTCAAGAAAAACGGTGACATTCCTCCATTACTGCATTCTTTATGATGCTCTTAAACTCGTCAGTGGATATCAGTGTTTCTAGTTTAAGAATTTTTTGAAGATTATTCCATGACCATGGTGCATGATAGGAGAATGCTGTTTTGACAAAGTCTGTTAGCCTTGACTTAACAATTTTTAAATTGCCTTTTAAAGATAAAACTTGGTTTTGTCTTGGGGGTTTTATATTTCTGACACAGGCAATTTCACAGTGATCACTAACATCATTACAAAATATGCCAACTGAGGAGTGTTTATGAGATGCGTTTGTTAAAATTAGGCCAAGCACTGTAGATTTTTTTTCTGACTTAAGATTTGGCCTTGTTGATACATTAATGAGTTGCACAAGAGTCACACAATTCTTTAAAACAATTTAAATTAAAAAAAAAAACCCACAAGGATGAATTCAGAATCACTTAAATCATGTAGAATGTCTGATATGGATTTGATGGGGTTTGCAACAGCCAACCACCGTGATATGAGAATCCTTTGACACGCCCACTTTAACGGCCAGGATCTTCAACTATTTAGCTTTAGTGACTGTCAAGGAAACTGAGCTAGTGAACTTTGGTTTGACATACATGGTGACCCCTCCTCCTTTACCTACCCTATCAGTTCTGTACACTTTACAACCATCAATAAAAATTCAGTCATCTGTTATGGATTTCTTAAGCCAAGTTTCTCATAGAACTATTATGTTGCTGACCAGCAAGCTGATGTGACCTATGCCTGTTGGAAAGTGTTCCCAGTTATCTATAAACAGAAATATTGTTCACTGTAGAAAAGCAAAATCTCCAATTGTGTGGTAACACATTCAACACTGTAATCAAAGTTCTGTCAATGTTTAAAACAAGTTTTGGTTAGTTTTAGTAAATGTACACTTTATGAAATCATTGTAATCTAATTCAGTCATTTCAAGTTTGTTTTTTGTTTTTTTCAAATCAGTAGAAAGGCAGACAAAAGTCCTCAGTTGACACCTGACATAGCATTACTTTCTTCAGTTAATCAAATTCACTGATCATTCATTTTATTATTTACAAGTGTGATTTTCATATAGTTACATGTCAAAACAAGGTAGTAATGTCATACATAATTGAACTCACTGGCATTGTTTTTTGTTGTTTTATTATTTATCTACCCATAATTGTGCATAAATGTTAACAGCAGCTTATGTCCCCAGGTTTGTCAGAGGAAAATAAAGTCCAGACATCAGCCTTCACTGATGCAGTGCGACTCTACCGCCAAACTCAAGGGCACTACGGCACATGGGAGATGATGTGTGGTGTGCCATCACAGGTAAGCCTGGCAGTAACACCTATCATAGGTCTCTGTTGTATTGTAGTGGTTGCATTTAGAAATGTGTTATGTGACTTGCTTCACTTAAATTTGATTTAATGCATTAATAAGTTAATATCATGTAAACACATTCTCTCGCTATTGCTTGAAAGGAATTTTCCATGCATTCCTCTCACATTGTCACCAAAATAACTGACTTTTGATTGAACCTGTGTTCTCTGGCTTCTTTTTGGGTAACCTTAACCTTGTCTGGTCTCTTATGAGGGTCAGTATTTATCTTAACTGATATCTAATTCAGTGCTGTTAACTTGTTTCATACTGGGACTGGGCATAGGTTCTGATCCACTTGAATGTAACATTAATATGGTGGTTAGTCGTCTTCTGAGTCTTTTTTGTCACTGTATCACGTAAAGTCTTTTTGTTGTTAGAGAAACTGTACCATGGTATTCGGTATATTGTTTGGAAAGATACAATCTAGATATGCTAATTCGGCTACATAAATAAATGTAAGTGGTAAGTGAGACCATTGTGCTTGTGGTCCAACGTGTGTGTGTCTGTGTGTGTGTGTGTGTGTATGTGTGTGTGTGTGTGTGTGTGTTATTTTCCTTGTAGATCCTGTCTAACTTGGTGATGGAGGGCCTCCTCCCTGAGCTGAGGGATCTCATCTCCCCCCGCCTCAAAGGCAAACTGCACGATAGGCAGAGGAGCTGGATGTTGGTAAGAAACCAAGTTTAAATTTGTCATCACTCCTGTTTTAAAGCTCCTTATGATTTACTTCTCTGGCGTATTGCTGAATTATTGTGTATGATTAGGAGTACAGTCTCAGATCTTTAAACCAGATCTTTACTGCCTATTCCTATTCCTAAGGCTGGACTTGAGAGTGGGGCATCACAGCTTTAAAACTCCTGCCTGATCCATGGCTTGCAGAATTATCTATTTAGACTTTTTTTTTTGTTTTTGTTTTTTTTTTTGTCAATTGTAAAGGCTCTCATTTTTCCAAAAAATAAAAAATAAAAAAATTGCTTAAATATTACTGTTGGGTATTGTATTGTTTTTGTAATTTTTGTTATTATTTTTAATTGAATGATTAAATTTGTCTAATTGCACTGCTGAGATGTTTTATTTTGGTTCATTCATGTGGAGCAAATTGTAGGTTTGTTTGCTGACATGCTGTACACTTAGAGGTTATTCTGAAGCTAATATATTCGGAATTTTAAAAACTCAAAAATATGCAGTTGTGTCAAATGTTCAACTTTTTATCTTATTCTTCAAAAAAGGGTACAGTTGTACTGATTATTTAATACTAATTAACCTCAGGTTATTAATTGGCTGATGCCTGCTTAATGCCTGTTTGCATTTTGATGAGGCAGCCTAGATGATGAGGCCAGTATGTCCAGCTACAACAAACATATTGTGTACTACACAGGTGTGAGTCTGGTAACAGAAGTTGAGCTTTTTTCAACTTTGTGTTCATATAGATCAGTGATGCAGTGTACAGCTTGGTGCAAAGGCAATGCCAGGACCAATATGAGGCAGTGTTGCAGAAATGTGATGCAGCCCACTCTTCTCTAGAGACCTCCATACGAACAGACATGGACCAGATCATCACCTCCAAGGAGCACATCACCAACAAGATTAGAGGTAACAAGAGGACAACATTTTACCTATATTATTATTATTATTATTATTATTAACAACTCACATTCACACCTACAGACAATTTAGAATCACCAAATAACCTCAACATGTTTTTGGACCTTGAACCCACGCTGCACGGGGAAAACTTACAAACTCCACGCAGAAAGATCCCGTTGTCCTCACAAGGACACGAACCGGCTAATAATAATTTATTATTTATTATTATTATTATTTTTATTATTGTTATTGTCGTCGTCGTTACTATTATTATTATTATTATTATTATTATAACAATAACAACAAGAGTAGAATGAGGGAACAGGTTTATGTTTTGTTTTCTTAAAATCACACATTTATACACCTCATAACTCAATTTATGTCAACTCTACCAGATGCACTAAAAAGCAAGTTTTTTGATTTTATAAAGTCAACTACAATTCTAAGTTCTCAAGTATCTAATTTTGATATTTAGTAATAAAGTACATTATTCCAATGTATCATGTACATTTTGCTGTAAATTTCACTTTGTTGAAATGTCCCATTTTTAAATTTCTTCATTTTATGCCTTAATGTTTCAATATTATCATAGAAAATAAACTATTGTTCTCCATCTCCCACAGAGGTGGTTCTCCCCAAGGCTGAGAAGCTGCTGAAGGTGAGTATCAAGCCTTACATTAGCTCCATCCTGGAAGCCCTGATGGAACCAACGAGCAGAGGCTTCTTTGAGGTCCGGGACGTTTTCTTCAGAGAGCTGTTGGACATGAGCAAGAACACCCTGAATGAGGGCACAAAGGAAACTGTGGCACAGGTAGGAAGAGGGAAGAGGTTCAGCTTCTAGCAGGCTGAGAGGATTTGCTGTGATTGCACGATAAACAATATGCAAATGATCCAGACCTTTGAAGAGCAGAAATATTATAAATGGTTGATGACCATATTATCATTGGTTATCAACTATCCAATGATTTGAAGTCAGTATAACTATGAAATGAATCATTTAAATTATAACCATTTAAAAAGCCCAGTGTCAGGTCCAAATTATGTTCTTCTCCATCCCTGTCTTCTCCTCCTCAGCACATGGAGAAGATCTTCATGCTGGCCTTCCATCCAGTGAAGATGCAGAGCTGCTATGAGAAGATGGAGAGGTTGAGTTTAGAGGGTCTGCAGCAGAGGTTTGACGTCTCCAGCCCCTCAGTATTCATCCAGAGAGCCCAGATTCTCATGAGAGAGGTGACACTACTAGCATACTCTAGCTGTCACTTTACTTTTAACTGGGTTTGGGATAACTTACAGTATGGGTTTTGAATGATGCAATGACAAGTAGTTGCCCTGGTCCACAGTTACTGCCTCTGTTATAAAAAAATAATTCTTCATTAAAACTTGGAGTTCTGGCTATTTTTGTCTTTAGTTATGGTAACATAAGCATCACTACAAGGCATTCTGGCAGGTCAAGAAGCATAAGTTGGTTCATAATTTTGATTTCTTATAATTTAAACTGCCATACATTTTAGACCCACTTGTTAATCCATAAGTATCCATTTAACTGACATTTATATTGGTTGAACTTCAGTCTCTAATTTGTACTTTTCAGCTACATTAGAAATTATTTGGATTTGTGTTTCACACAAATGTAACAATCGACAGATAAAATGCATTTCATGCAGTAAAATTTACTTTCTTATCTGAACTATTCATCGCAGTTGATTTATTTTGCAACCAAATTATCTTTGTTATGCCCGGTTTAGGGGAACCTGAGTAAAGCATAAAAAAGTGCTCCCCGCTTTCACTAATTTAGAGGATTTGCAGTCCCAGTCCATAAACACAAATTTTGGGATGCATGCCTCATTCAGAGTTCATGTGCTCATTGGAAACTGGGAAGCCTTTCCACAAATACTACAAAGTAAAGTAGTCACAGTTGCTTAGGAGCTGTTCATGGATAGAATATTCCCTTTGGTCCCTGGTAATTTCACTTTTTATTCTGGACAGAATGTTAAACTTCATTATACAGAAAGCAAAAATTATCCCCAAAGTCGAAGCTCAAAAGAGAACAACAGTACCTGTCGTACCTGGAATGTCCCTCTCCTATCTGCTTTTAATTTCTTTCCATTTTCACATTGGTTGCTAAATAGGCCTCCATCTCTATATACATATAGTCCATACTGGATTACTGTCATTGATCATGGCAGGTGATAATAAAATCACCCCACTTCCATTAGAGAACTGAATCCCATCTGAATGGAACTGCCCTATTTAAGTTAGTCACCAGAAAGTAATGAAACGGTAGTGTTTCAGAATATTATCAAATATAACTGGGAAAACACTATTCCAGTATTTATAGTATATGCAAAATACATTTTGTGTTCTGTAGTCTGGTCTCTTGGGATCAGAATGATCAGAATGTGTAGCTCATACAGACCAATAACTGTAAGTTAGTGTGTGAGTGGATCTAACCAGGAGTCAGTCATTCAGTTATTATTGAATTGAACACTTGATCAGCAGAGTCATTTGAATGTTTGAACCTCTCTCTGTTTAATTTCAGTTAGTGCAGTTTAGCCTGCAAGTTTATGTCTTAAGTCTTACAACTGCCTTATCTTAGAACAGAGTGAAAAGAACAATGGATAAAATATACTGTAGCTTTTGGAGGGATTGGACAAGGTCCACTTTGTGCTGGCAGCTGCATTCACAATAGAACTGCACTTTAACATGGTGGTAAAATTTTTCAGGAGAAGAGTGAACAAAGGGTAAGTATAAATAGTTAATAATGTGCATATAGAAAGCCAAATTACATTGACCATGATTTAGTGTTGAAAAGCAATACAAGGGGAAAACTTCCAAGAAGAACTTCTACTACTACTTCTTACAGGCATGTAATAGGCCAGCAAGACTGGGAGAGGCAGTTATTATAATTTAGTCTCTGAATGCATGATATTTCACCAGTGATGTGTGTAATTTATCTATTACTTATCAAACCCAAAATATTGTCAAATTTACTAACATGTTTTAATCCAATCCTTCTAACTCTGTAAACTCTCTCTTTATCTTTACTTGTCTGTCCACAGCAAATGGACAATGTAGCCTATACGTTTGAACAGATCTTTCACCAGAGTTTGGAGTCTCAGGGTACTGAGGATCTCTGTAAGACCATTCAGCGCTGCCAGGATAGAGTCATTAAGGTAAAACACTACCAGGAACAGGCTAGTAGATCACAATGCTATTATCCTAAACCAAAAACACATGGGAAGAGCAGGATTTCACTTGACAACTGCTGTACAGAGGTAAAACCTATTAGCTACATGTTTGGTCAAAATTGTACTCTAACCTGTACATGACCTCTGCTTTACTATACTAAAAATTATTATGGTGTAGAAATGTGTATAGTAGCAGTAGCTACCAAGTGGACCCTAAAGCTGAAGGAATAAGTGTACTTTGGATGTGTAGTTGTCAAATTGTCTCTTTGTATTGCTTCAGCCTATAGTTACTGGCTCTGTAGTCTGTGTGCTGTAAGACCACTATAGAAAGACTGCAAAGCTACAGCTAAATACACAGCTACAGAATTAGAAATTAGAAATACTCAAGTAAGATTAAGTCTCTCAAAATATTACTAAAGTACAGTCATTTAGTCAGTGTGCTTAGAAACAATCCAGTTCTGTGTTACAACGTTTTTCCTTGTTTCTTTTCGGTTTTTTTTTTTAGAAATTTGACTATGACAGCAGCACAGTAAGAAAGCGTTTCTTCCGTGAGGCTCTGCTACAGATCTTCATCCCCTACATGCTGAAACAGTTGAGCCCTTCCTGTGCCTCTGTGAGTTTTTCTATTAGAAACAGAGAAAATGTCCAAAATGTGCTGGAAATGATCACTTAGTTGTTGTGTGACTTATGCAGTGTAAAAGTTTATTTCATTTAGCTCTAGATGAAAAAGACATAACCTGTAGTAAGAAAATGTTTGTATGAAGTGTATCCGTTTTTAAAATGATTTAAGCAAGACCAGTGCTCAGTTGAGATGTGGAGAGGATGTGACTGTTATTGTTGTGAACACCAGGAGCTGCCGCGGTTCCAAGAACTTATCTTTGAGGACTTTTCTCGCTTCATCCTGGTGGAGAACATCTTTGAGGCAGTGGTACTGCACTCTGTGATGAAGGACATCATGATGGGTCAGTCTTCTACAGTGTTTTTTCTGTACTGACATACCTTATTATATAGTGAATCAGGTTTCTTTGTATGAGTCAAGTCAGTTTTATTTGTTTAGCGCAGTTTACATCATATGCCATCTCACAGCACTTAACATGGTAAGGTATAGACCTTACAAATTTAAACAGAGAACCCAACAATCCAAAGTAGCCTTTGGACTCCCTAGGAGCATGAGGTTGGCAATGGTGGGAAGGAACCAACCCTCCCCCAGAACAATACATATGAGTATAAAAAATTGGGGGGTTGGTGAGGCCAGCGGCTGCAGATCAGAGACATGAAGCTCCGGATCAACAAGCACAGGACCTTGGGGGAAACACAGAGTTAGTGGTATGTAATGGTGGTTATAACTGTGAGGCGAGGAGAGGCGAGGAGAGGAGAGGAGAGGAGAGGAGAGGAGACAGTCTAAACCTAAAGCAGCATAACTAAGGGACAGTTTAGGTGATCCTGAGCAGCCCTAACTATAGCCTTTGTTAAAGAGGACAGTTTTAAGCCCAACCTTTAAAGTAGAGAGGGTGTCTGCCTCACAAACCCAAACTGGGAGCTGATTCCATAACAGAGGAGCCTGATAACTGAAGGCTCTGCCTCCCATTCTACTTCTAGAAACTCTGGGAACCACAAGTAGACCTGCAGTCTGAGAGCAAAGGGCTCTGTAAGGATAGTATGGCACAATAAGGTTTTTAAGGTAAAATATAGCTTGGTCATTGAGAGTTTTATATGTTAGAAGCAGGATTTTAAATTCTGTCCAGGGGCCTCATTTATCATCAGTGCGTAGAAAAGGTTCTAAATTCTGTCATACAAATGAAATTTAGAGTGTGTAAGACAAAAAAGTCTGTATTTATCAAACATGCGTACGGGGGTCGTACGTACATCGTGTTGATAAATCCCACTTGTTCTTAACCTCTATGCTCGTGCACGTTGCCTTCAGAAACGCCTCCAAATCACCACAAAGGGCAACAACACGCCTCTTTATAAGTAAGTGAAGATTTATTTTTTCCTCACCTGTCGTCATCATCGTGGCAAAAAGGGCGAAAAAGAGGAACTTTTCTGAAACTGAAATCAAGGTAATTGTCAGCGAGGTTGAAGCAAACCAGAAAATATTGTTTGGTGCGTGAAATGTTGGGATGAGCAGTGTTAGAAAAAATACTGCATTGGACAAGATAACCACCGCAGTTATTTCTGTTGGGTCAGAAGAAATCGTCGGCAAAATTGGTGGTTTGATGTTAAGCTCAGTGCCAAAAATACGCATCACAGCCCATAAAAGAGAAATGACTGCAACTGGAGGAGGACGAATTAATACCGACCTTTCACCCAGTGGATAACCCTGATCACCTATAGATGAGATGTTTTAATAACCAAACAAAGTCCAGCTAAAACATCTCACACTCTGTGACACTCACCAATAAGCCAGCCGTCTTCAGCAGCTCCTGCTTGGAGACCCACAGAACTGTTCTGCTCAATGAATGACTCGTGCGTTCCTCCAAGCCGCCGGGCAAAAACATTGGATAACCACAAATGTGCATCGCAAATTATCAGTACGTTGATTGAATGAAACCCTTTTCTATTTCCAAAATTAAGCTCGTTTAGTGATGCGGCTTTGATTGCTATGTGGGTGCAGTCTATGGCTCTACTTATGTTTGGGAATCCAGCGATGGCGTTAAGTCCCCGTTTGATTTGGGCTCGTTGGTGATGGCTGTAAGGGANGGAGAGGAGAGGAGAGGAGAGGAGAGGAGAGGAGAGGAGACAGTCTAAACCTATAGCAGCATAACTAAGGGACAGTTTAGGTGATCCTGAGCAGCCCTAACTATCGCCTTTGTTAAAGAGGACAGTTTTAAGCCTAACCTTTAAAGTAGAGAGGGTGTCTGCGTCACAAACCCAAACTGGGAGCTGATTCCATAAGAGAGGAGCTGATAACTGAAGGCTCTGCCTCCCATTCTACTTCTGGAAACTCTGGGAACCACAAGTAGACCTGCAGTCTGAGAGCAAAGGGCTCTGTTTGGATAGTATGGCACAATAAGGTTTTTAAGGTAAAATTAAGCTTGGTCATTGAGAGTTTTATATGTTAGAAGCAGGATTTTAAATTCTATCCAGGGGCCTCATTTATCATCAGTGCGTAGAAAAGGTTCTAAATTCTGTCATACAAATGAAATTTAGAGTGTGTAAGAAAAAAAATCTGTATTTATCAAACATGTGTACGGAGGTCGTACGGACATTAGTGTTGATAAACCCCACTTGTTCTTAACCTCCATGCTTGTGCACGTTGCCTTCAGAAACGCCTCCAAATCACCATATAACACACCTCTTTATAAGCAAGCGAAGATTTATTTTTTCCTCACCTGTCGTCATCATCGTGGCAAAAAGGGCGAAAAAGAGGAACTTTTCTGAAACTGAGATCGAGGTACTTGTCAGCGAGGTTGAAGCAAACCAGAAAATATTGTTGGTGCGTGAAATGTTGGGATAAGCAGTGTTAGAAAAAATGCTGCATTGGACAAGGTAACCACCGCAGTTATTTCTGTTGGGTCAGAGGAGAGATCGTCGGCAAAATTGGTGGTTTGACGTTCAGCTCAGTGCCAAAAAATGCGTCACAACCCATGAAAGAGAAATGACTGCAACTGGAGGAGGACAAATTAATACCGAACTTTCACCCAGTGGATAACCCTGATCACCTATAGATGAGATGTTTAAATAACCAAACAAAGTCCAGCTAAAACATCTCACACTCTGTGACACTCACCAATAAGCCAGCTGTCTTCAGCAGCTCCTGCTTGGAGACCCACAGAACTGTTCTGCTCAATGAATGAGTCGTGCGTTCCTCCAAGCCACCGGGCAACAACGTTTGATAGCCACAAATGCGCATCGCAAATTATCAGTACGTTGATTGAATAAAACCCTTATCTATTTACAAAATTAAGCTCGTTTAGTGATGCTGCTTTGATTGCTATGTGGGTGCTGTCTATGGCTCAACTTATGTTTGGGAATCCAGCAATGGCGTTAAGTCCCCATTTGATTTGGGCTCATCGGTGATGGCTGTAAGGGAGCTGGATGTAGGCTGGGGCCAGGGAAGTTATGGCATCCGACACTGCTGGCTTGATCCTGCTCAGTGGTGACTGGAAATGCTGCATATGTCTCCATCCTCACGCTGGAATGTGCCGGTGGTCAAAATCCCTGAATGCTTTCTATTTGTAGTTTCACTATTCTACCACTAGATTATGCATGTACGCATGGTCAGAGTTGTGCGTATATTAATGCACATTCCTAAGTATAAGTACAAGTTGATAAATTCCATACTTTGCATAGGAATGTTCGTACGCACGCTCTATGCACATATCTGTGCGTCCGCACTGATGATAAATGAGGCCTCTGCATTTTACAGGGAGCCAATGAAGAGAAGTTAATACGGGAGAAATATGATCTCTGTTACTGGTTTCTGTCAGAACCCTGGCTGCAGCATTTTGGATCAGCTAAAGGTTTTTAAGACAGTTATTGGGACATCCTGATAATAAGGAATTACAATAGTCCAGTCTAGAAATTATAAATGCATAGACTAGTTTCTCAGTATCACTTTACGTAGATGAAAGAAGACTGTCCTACAAACTTGTTTTATATGTCTATTAAATGACATGTCCTGGTCAAAAATAAGGTTCTTTACAGTAGAACTGGAGGCCAAGGCAATGCCATCTAGAGGAGCTATCTGGTTCGACAGTGTGTTTCTGAGGTGTTAGGGCCAAATACAGTAACCTCAGTTTTGTCAGAAATTAAATGAAGGAAATTACAGTTCATCCAAGCCTCTATGTACTTCAGACATGCCTGGAGTTTGACCAACTGATTGGTTTCATTTGGCTTCACAGATAAATATAACTGGGTATCATCTACATAACAATGTAAATTTATGCAGTGCTTCCTAATAATGTTGCCTAATGGAAGCCTGTACAAAACAAATAATATTGGTCCTAACACAGAGCCCTCTGGAACTCCATAGCTAACTCTACTGCCGGTGGAGAAAACATCATTAACATGGACAAACTGGAATCTGTCTGACAAATATGATTTAAACCCATTTAGTGCAGCTCCTTTAAGCCCAATTAAACATTCCAGTCTCTGTATTGAGATGCTGTGATTCACTGTAGCAAATGCAGCGCTGAGGTCCAGTAGAACAAATATAAAAACTAATCCACTGTCTGAAGCTAAAAGAAGATCATTAGTGACCTTTGCCAGTGCTGTCTCTGTGCTGTGATGACTTGTAAAACCCAATTGAAACCATTTCTATGCAGATAATCACATAATTGGCTTACAACAACTTTTTCAAGAATTTTAGAAATAAAAGGGAGGTTGGATATGGGCCTATAGTTTTCTAAAACGTCTAGATCTAGAGTAGGCTTTTTGAGAAGTGGTTTTATTATAGCTACTTTAAAAGCCTGCGGTATGTAGCTTGTTGATATAAAGAAGTTGACGATATTTATTACTGCAGTATTCGTTAAGGAAAGATTTCCTTGAACAGTCTAGTTGGGATTGAGTCTAACAGACATGTTGCTGGTTAAGAAGAATTTACTATCGACGTGAGCTCTGAGAGATTTACAGCAGAGAAGCAGTCAAAGTATAAATCTGGTCCTATGGATGCATCCAGAGCTGCTGCACCTGAAGACATGTTAATATCAGTAATTTCCCAGACTGGAATAAATAAAGTATTTTTCTATTCTATTCTTCTATTCTAATAATTTTTAGTCTAATATTCAAAACTTTTTCAGTGAAGAAGGTCATAAAATCTTCACTGGTGAGAGCTAAAGGAGCACATTTACAATATGAATTCCTCAGTTATCACTGGATGGAAAATTGGTCTAGTAACCAAACTGAAAACAATCCTTTCTGTACGTAGAACTCTGATTTCTCTGATCAGAGACAGCAGAGTAGTACTTCTAGGTTTTAGAAGAAATGATTGTCAGACTGTATGTTATTTCCCCGCAGTGATTACAGTCTTAAAATGCAATGGTTGAAAAATTCTTCAAAGTGAAAGCTAAAGTCCTTTATAGACAGGAAATATGTAACATTGCTTCATCAATCCGTTAAACTGACGACATTCTGTCATTCAGACCTACGAGGGTAGTTTGAAAAATTCTTGACTTCACCTGGAAACAAGAGGCTGAATACTCATTGTGGGGCATAATTGTAAACTATAAAGCATTATATCACTGTCTGTAAAAACTCTTAATTTTGAAGCAGTCAAAGAAAGTAGAGGAAAACTTCAAGTTGGCGTGCTATTGCTCCAGGACAGTACATCTGTCAATGCTGGACAGGTGGCAGAAGAAGCCAAATGTGACTTTGAACTGTTTCCCCATGAACCTTACTAACCTGACCTGTACCAGCTGACGTCTACAAGTCTGACAGGGTCCTACACAGTGTCAGGCAAGATACACTCAGTAATGTATAATGCATACAGTGCCAAAACATACAGAGCAATAAATCTAAACTAATAGAAACTTATCAGACTGTCCAAATAATTAGAAACCTACTTTATTTTAAGATAAAACTATAAATGGTAAATGGTCTGGACTTATATAGTGACTTTCTACATTAGTGGTACTAAAAGCACTTTACAATGTGTTTCTCATTCACTCATTCACACTCGCATTCATAGACCAATGGCAACACAGCTACTGTGAAATGTGCCTGCCTGCTATTGGGAGCAACTTGTTCAGTGTTTTGCCCAAGGACACTTCAACTGTGGAGGGGCGGGGGATTAAACTGCCAACCTTGTGATTAGAGGACAACCCTCCGCCACCTGAGCTACAGCCACCCATAACTGTAACTGCAGCTGATAAACTGTGACTATGTGAAGGTTCAGGTGAAGAAAATAGAAGAAGTAGAAAAAGAAAAGACTGATCGATGCTGTTTCCATGTCTGGGACAATTTCTGAAGTTACTGCTGTTTGTCTGTGCGTAAAATTGAATTTCCCTTCTGGGATAAATAAAATATTTTTCATTTCATTTCATTTTCATTTCAAAATGCAACTCTCTCATTTTGGAGATGCTCATATAGATTCTGCTGATGTCTGATGCTGCAGCTATTTAATAAACTCAGGAAAAATAGTTGTAAAATAGCTGAAGTCTGTCTGTGTGACAGCTCCCCTGTACGATGTAAAGATAAGTAGCCAAACGGTGTGACTTGCTGTCGTATCCTGGCCCAGACTGATCCCAGCCTGGACTGATGCTGAGAATAATTTAGTATATGAATTTGATGACGTTGCCTGTTGTTTTCTTACATCCACAAATGTAAGCAACTCTCTCAACTTGCTTTGGAGACACTTATATGGATCCTGCTGCTGTTTGAGGCTGCAGGTATGTTGTGAATTTAGAGGAAAGACTACTCCAAGCAGTTTCAGGTCCTGTTATCGTCTTGTTGGGAGCATGCTATAAGCAAGACCAACAGGAACTAGTATGACCCTAACCCTAACCAGCAAGCTCACAACAGCAGTTATACATTATACACATTTATTAACTGTTTTACTGTCAATAACCTCTGACAGTGTCACTCACTGCAGCCAAACAGCACCCCTTCTTACCTTTTCCTTGTATTATTTTACTGTGCAGTTATAAAACAGGAATATGAACAAACACTATTTTCTGAATAGAAAAGAGATCAGTCACATCCCCTTCTCCAAAAATGGCTGGACAGTAGAGAGATTTGGGATTTTTCATGTTAAAGTTCAGTGAGATTGAACTACGCAAAACAAAGGATGTAAGCCAGTTCAAGACCAGAGGTGAATGTGTCTGGCCACGTTCCATCCAGACGTCAATGTTTTTTCCAGAATTCTCACAATAAAATTCCTTTCTAGGATTTTTTTAAGTAGCCCCAGTAAACAACATAATCAAGAATCAGTTATAGTTTTGCACTGTAAAACTTGTTATAAATGAAATTAAATAAATTAATTGGATACATTTACCTCATCATATGGACACATATTTCAACCTTTTTTCTCTCAATCTGTAGCTGTGAAAGAGGCTGCAGTCCAGAGGAAACACAACCTGTATAGGGACAGCATTTGCCTCAGCAACAGCGACCCCAACCTGCACTTACTGGGAGAAAACCCCATCGACTGGGCCGCAAAGTATGCACGAGCCCGGGAGCAGAATGACGGAGCAGGAGAGGACATCGAGGATGACAGTGATGCCAAATATGGGGAATCTCAGAAAAGGAGGATAAAGCAAGTGGTGTCCATGATCCAGGTGGAGGACTCAGTTGTCCTCCCTAGCGAGCTATGCTTGGAGGTATCCAGTGTTGATGACATTCCAGAGAAGGATAAAGATGAGGAGGAGGATGTAGATAAAACGGCTCCCTCTGAGCAAAATGAATCTGCAGTTCCCAAAGTGTTAGAAAACACTCAAGACCTGTCAAATGGCTCTATCTTGAAGGAAGAGGAAGCCACACCAGATCAGAAAGAAGGCATCCTGCTGAAGGATGAATCAACGACAGAAGGTGCTTCAGCTGTAAAAGAGGGAGATGAGGGAGCAGACAGCCAGCTGGTGGAGGAGGAGCAGTCCTCCTCTAACCCAGAGTCGGTAGAGGCATTGCCACCAACTCTGCAGGAAATCCCTTCCGGAACTACAGAGACTGCTTCAGTCTGCCCTCGAGAGGCAACACCTGACTCTCCCCCATTTCTACATGACAGCCATAACCAGTTTCCCACTGGTGAAGTGGTGATGGAGGAGGAGGAGGAGGTGGTCTCTTGCACAGCTGCCCCACAGCCAACTAACCTGAGGTAAAGGAAACAAATGCAGCCGCAGCACCAGAGGCTAAACTTATGACTCTGAGACCAGAGATGATATGATTTCAGTTTTTCTGATCTAACCTGAAACTTGCCTTCTTTTGTTTTTATTTTTTACATTAAAGGACATTTTATGGTCTTTGACCAAATCAGTTTTTCCACAGTAGATCACTCGGCTAATTTTTTTCGCTAAGAAAGGCTCAGTTGCAGTCCCCATTTTAGTTTTCACAACTCTGCATGTGACAAAAAGACTTCGGCTTTTGATCCCACAATCCACCTACCTTCTATTCACCTGGTGGAAATATGAGCACAGTGGAGAACCTTGAGTTCATAAGGGTGTGTTATATATGTGTGACATGTTGTAAGAACACCCTTGTTTGAGTGTCTTTGGTGAAATGCATGTTGATTCAGCTCGTAAGTCTGTCTTGATTGGCTAGTGGGCGACCTGCAGCAATTAGATTTTTTTTCTGACTGTATTTGGTGTAAAAACAAACCAAACAAACAAAAAAAAAAAACAGTTTGTGTTATTTGAAACTTACTAAGGTTAACACACTTGGCTAATCTCAAACCAAGTGTGACAACAAAAAATCCAGTTTCTTATCGGACCTAATTAGTCATTAGAAAATGTTTTCCAGAATGTGGAAAAAAGTCTGAAAGTTTTTTTTTTTTCTTGTCAAACTGGCATATAATTAATTGTCTCATTGAACACATACATCTCAAGACTTGACAATTTCTTTTGTGTTATTTGGAATTGCATAATTGTATATGAGTTTATTCCGTAACAAAGAAAGCGTGTGTGTATTATATATAAATGCTTGTATGAACCAATAAACTACCAAACTGTCATTTTGCATAATTTTTTTTATAATTTCTTCAGTGCCTTAGCTGATTCCTCACTTCCTGTTTTATTTATTATTTTGCACCCTTCTATTTTTTGATTGATATTCTTTTAGATTTATTTTACTCTTCTGTGATGTAAATGACTGTTACTGATAATAAATCAATGATTACATAAAGTCAGTTTGTCATTATGCTTTCTGTTGCTATGGGAGGGATGCTGCGTTTTTAGGCACATTCGTACGCACACATACACACACATACACACACATTCGGGTGTTTCCATCCCTTTAGAGGACATTACACTGACTTAGATTTATTTCCTTAAGCCTTCCTCATATTGCTACCATAATTTACTACGTTTGCCTTACTGTAGCCTTTCCCTTATTATTATCCAAGTCTTCCTGCTAAAGTTTTCAAATCTTTTGTGTGATGGTGACTTGCTTTATTAAGGAAAAGGCAGCATCGCCTCCCACAGTATTTTATTAATGTGTAAGTGTTGAAGAAAAATATTTACCATTGCTCTGACTTGTTTTTATTATAATTATACTGACGCATACTGTGACTATCAGCTGAATATTTTAGGCTTTTCTTTTTTTTCTTTTTTGTCTGAGAACAAGTCTAAGTAGAAAAGTAAAGGCCCAGAGTTAGCTACAGAAAATGAACAGGTTTTTTTGAGGCATGGCTACATTATAGAAATAGCAGGGACTTAAAAATGTTGTGGCTATTCAAAGTACAACACACCACCTCATGGTTTCTCCCTCTACTCGACTGTCAAAATAAAAGCTCACTGATGTTCAAAGCTTTTACCAGACAGTACTTCTGTCTCTTTTTCACCCACACTGATGGACAAACCCTCTACGTGTTTGGATTCACTTTCAAAATCATTGTCCATACCCAGCAACAGAGTTTTGTGAGATGCTTTAGAGTAGTCTGGATTTTTTATTTTTTTTTTATTTTTTTAAAGCTTCAAATCCATAATTAAGCACAAAAAAAAAAAGACTGGCAGTTACAGGATGTTAGCAGGGTCCTTTGAAGTATAATAGAATATAAACATCCATCCATCATCTCTACACCGCTTAATCCTCACTAGGGTCATGGGGGGCTGGAGCCTATCCCAGCCGACTTAGGGTGAAGGCAGGGGACACCCTGGACAGGTAACCAGTCTATCACAGGGCCACACCTAGAGACAGACAACCAACCTACGGACAATTTACAATCACCAATCAACCTCAACATGTTTTTGGACTGTGTGGGAGGAAGCCGGAGAACCCGGAGAGAACCCACGCTGCACGGGGAGAACATGCAAACTCCACGCAGGAAGATTCCGGTGCCCCACCGGGACGCGAACCGGCGACCTTCTTGCTGCGAGGCAACAGTGCTACCAACTGCACCACCTTGCAGTCCGAAGATAAAGATGTTCAAAGAAAATTAGCAGGGTTTAGGAAATACTGACTTTTAAATCAATACACACTTTTTAACATTATACCTTAACATATTATATGTAAACACATTCTAACTTTCGAACCTAAAGAAATGGTGGAAAATGTTTAGTTAACCTTGTCTCCTTCTCACAATTTGACCTCGATATGAACAAATAATACATTAAACTATAAGCAATTTTGTGTTCTTTCGTCCATTGAAATTGCGACAAGACTAATTTTTTTTTTTCATAAGCCACCTTAAAGCACAGAGTGTGCCAACCAAAACTCCAGGTCTCTTTTCACCCTGCAACCAAGCCTACAGTGTGCACATGTTCTTATCTTCCTCATAGGATTGTTTTTTGCGTGGCTGAAAAATATGACTCATTTTTTGAGTTGTGATCATATGGTTGAGGCGCTTTTCATAATTTCTGCCTCTGTCTGCATCTGTCTGCTTTTTTTCACTGGACAGAAACTGAGTGCATACTCCCCCCTCTTCCACTGAAAAGGAGTGAATCACCATAGCAACCAGACCCACCTACCTAAACATTGTTACAGACCACATACACTCCATGGCAGCAGTGTTCCCTGCTGGCAGTGGCCTCTTTCAGGAGGATAATGCACTTTGCCATACTGCAAACATTGTTCAGGAATGGTTTGAGAAAGTTTAATGTTGTGTTGATGTGTTGCTGCAAGCAGTTTCAGAGACATTTCATTGTTCCACTTGCCTTTTTAGAGTGATGTAACCGTAAAACAGAAACTGAAGAAAATGCTAAAGACTTGTGCTTGTTCACCTTATAAGATTTGCAACAGGTCTAATTATAGGTTTGAATTGTGTTTTTTGTTTGTTTGTTTGTTTGTTTTTGTTCACTACTTGCTCTCCACCCATTTAACACCCAGGGTTGCAGTTAAAAAAAAGGCTAAAACCACATGACTACTTATGGCTACATAACAAAAGAATACATCTAAGAAACACATTTATTTAATAGAATATAGAGTTGTAATTATAGTCACAGCTACTCATGCGCTAAGGCTTTGGTAAGGATAATATATAAGGCTGTGAACGTTCAATCCAGAGCAGACTGAGCCACAGACACCACTGAGTGTGCATCATGTTTCATCATGTGTCTTGATATTTTGGTTTCTCCAAATACATCTTGCCGCTGTAAAGTTGAAATACCAATAGAAAGCAGTCAAAGACCACAAATGACTGCCACAGTATTTTCGAACTCAGTAATCTGATCTGTTTTTGCCAACTGAAATGTAACCAGTGAATCAATTGAGAGAGTGACCCAAAATAAATATGACAAGTTAAACAAATTTAAAACACCATTTGACTGCTCTGAAGAATGTCCAATATTCATGTAGGCAAACCTAAATTTCGAAGAACAGAAAGCCCATCATGTACAAGGCTGTAATCCCCAACGCAGCGGCCTGGGTTCGATTCCAGCCAGCGGCTCATTTGCTGCATGTCATTCCCCGACTCTTCTCCCCACGTTTCTCTGTCTATCTTTCACTGTCCCTATCATTAAAGGCGGAAAAGCCCAAAAATAAATCTTAAAAAAAAAACAAACAAAAAAAACCACACAGTCTTGTTAAAGCAGCATTCAAACAGTACTTTCATCCATGTCTGGAACCAAACCACCTACATTCTAAAATGGTTCTCAATAGACAACAACTTTCGATGATGACGTCACGTTTTGTTGAGGAAAAAGTATGTTACGTCAGGAATACAGTTTTTTAGTTGTGATTTTGGTGTTTTAAGTTACATCTTAATGTGCTGGGTATGATTATATATAGCATGTTTCCACACGGGCTGGGATAGGCTCCAGCCCTCCCGCGACCCTAGTGAGGATTAAGCGGTGTATAGATAATGGATGGATGGATGGATGGATGTTTCCACACACCAAACATCCATCCATCCACTCGGGTCGTGGGGGGGCCCACACACACCCTGGACAGGTCGGCAGTCTATCACAGGGCTACACTTAAAGACAAACAAACAGCTACGGACAATTTAGAATCACCAATGAACCTCAGCATGTTTTTGGACTGTGTGGGAGGAAACTGAAGAACCCAGAGAGAACCCAAGCTGCACAGGGAGAACATGCAAACTCCACGCAGAAAGATCCCAGGTGTCCTAGCTGCAAGACGATGGTGCTAACCACCATGCAGCCCACACTCCAAACATGAAGGAAGATATTGAAAGATGAAGAATTCAAAGGCTGGACTGGAAAGTCAGCCTGCAGTTACACATCACCCCCCTTTTTATCATTGGCCAATATACAAAATAAGATTTTACACAAAATACTAAGATTTTATAAAATATAAATATATAAATGTAAAAATTTTGCTTCGTCATAATATAAGCTACTCAGCAGTAAATACAAATAGAGCTGAAATCCTTGTTTGATTAAATGATTTGTCACTTGTCCCTCTTTTATATCCCTATATTTTCAACTGTAATATTGTTTGGCAAGTACTTATTGCATACTTATAATACACTTTATTAATCCCCTAAGGGATGCCACGACAGGTGACAAAAACACAACTTAAAAAATAAATACACATGGGCATTAAAACCACTGAACTAAATAAAAATAGAATGAAATTCTGTGCAATCTGAAGATAATTGTGCAAAATCACTCAGAAAAATAAGCTGAATGTGTAAAGTGCCTGGGAAGATAAGTCTCTTCTCCTTGCCAGAGGGACTCACTGTACAGCATTATTGCAATGGGCAGGAAAGGCTTTCTTAGTGCTCCTCACTATAGTGGAGTTGAAGAGGCCTCTGATTTGTAGGTCACACAGGGGATGTGAAGTGTTGTACATTATGCTGAGCAGCTTGTGCAACACATTCCTCTCAACAACCAACTCCAGGAGCTCAGCAGCAGTCCAAAGAGCCAGCCAGCCTTCTCTTTATCAGTTTGTTCAGTGTCTTATTGTCACTAGCTGCTACCCCAACACACGGCTGCTAAAAACTGCACTTGCAACAACAGACAGTTAAAAGATTTGTAACATCTTGCTGCACACATTACAGGACCTAAGCTTCCTAAAAAAGCCTATTGTGCCCCTTTTCATAGAGAGCCTGAGTGTTACTCTTCCATTTTAGTCTGCTGTCAGGGTGATGTGTCAGGTATTGGACGGTGTCCACTGCCTCCATCTCTTCGCCCAAATTCAGAAATGGTGTTTAAATTACCTGTGGTCGGGATGCTGCTATAGCTCACCTGGTGGCGTCCCATGTACAGGGGCCATAGTCCCCGACGCAGCGGTCGTGGGTTTGATTCCCACTCATGACCCTTTGCTGCAGGTTCTTCCCCCATTCTTCTCCCCCCACTTTCCTGTCTCCCTCTCTCTGTCCTATCCAATAAAGCCGAAAAAGGACCAAAAAAAAAAAAAAAAAATCTAAAATAAAAATGACCTGTGGTCCTCCTAAAGTCTACAACCATCTCCTTTGTCTTCATCACATTTACTAGTAGGTGGTGCCATGTAGTGGTCCACCAGCTCCTTGCACTAAGCCTCCTCTCCACCACCGACAGACAGACAGACAGGTGAGGGTGGTAGATGGATGTTTCCTTGCTCTTCCCTAGTTTCGCTTTAGCCTCCCTCTTCACACTCTTCAGAAGAGCTCTGTCCTGAAGCTCCTGTCCTGTTCCTGAAGACTCTCTTCTTTCTGTTCAACAGCCTCTTTAGTTCAGTGGTCATTCAGGGTCATGCCTCATGTCAGTAACTATCTTCTTCTAAACTGAACAAAAATATAAATGCAACACTTTGGAAAACGATGGAATCCCGCCTGCACACAGTGAGTTCATGTCAGTGTTTTTTTTTGTTTGTTTGTTTGTTTGTTTGTTTGTTTTGGGGGGGGGGTGCATTTTTTATAATTAGGAAGGCAAGTGAGCCTTCTAAAAATATAATATTACAGGTATAAGTGAACAAGTTACATCTGCTGAGTTTATGGGTCACTGAGCAAAAACTCTGATGAAGTAGCACTGGCATTAAAGAGTTTTCTTGTTTACATACACCTGTCGGGATTCTTTCGTTGTGTCCCGTACACTCAGAGACTGTGATGCACAGCGCTGCCTGATAACTACTGAGGTACAGAGCAGCAGAGCGGCAGCAGCCACAATGGACGATCCTGTGAGCCTGAGCTCAGGACACAGAAACCCTGATTTTCAGACACTCTTTAAGTTTCAGATTCTCTCACGGCAGACATGTAGCAAAGGTCATGTGTACAAAGACAGCCAATGGTGAAGTCGCTCGACTCGTAACTGGTGATTTGTCTGTATTTTCAGCATTTGTATTCGGATTTGTCATATAGCGGCACCTGAAGGCAGCACGTCGGCGTGCTGACGTCACATCCTAACGTGCCTCCGCCGCAGCTCAGCAGCAGAGAGCATGTCAGTCATCATCCAGCATCCTGCTGCTGTGGATCTGTGCAGCAAACCCCGAGGACAGCGGACAACCTGCCAAAAACAACACAACAGCCACCGCTGACCGTCTCCTAGCTGCTTTACTTTTTTCAGCTGGTTGTTTCTCCCCCGTCCCGACTATCAGAGGATGGAGGGATGATCAGGACTGACTCCCCCCCGCCGCCGCCTCCTCCTGCTCTTCTTTTACCTCCTCCTGCTGCTCCTCCGCTCAGTCTTCGTGTCTCCTGTCAGCCGTCGCAGCTCTGCCCAGGATGCGGGCTTCGCTGCGGGACCAGGTTGTGGTGTTTGCGGCCCTGTTGGCGCTGACCACCTGCCTGACAGGTAAGGAGCTGCTGCTCTTCAGTCACACCTCATCATAGACACGGCGCCACGCCGCAGATGACACAGGCCTCCTGTTTTGGGAGGTTGCTATAGGAACTTGTAGTGTTTCTGTCTTAAGCCTGGATTTCAACACCTAGTGATCCTCTGTGGTCTGAATATCTTTGGCCTTTCGATCGTTTCGTAGGGGGAAGAAAACAGCAGTTTAAAGATGCCACTTTGGGCGTGAGAAAATAGAATTGTGCAGTTTAGCAATGTTCTACAACAGGGGAGCAGTCTTCAGACAATCAGCTGTAAAAACATTTTTATCCCGAATAGAGCTAGTGATTTATTTTGACATAGGATGGAGACTGTTAAAAACTGCTTAGTGCATATTTACTGTAAATAACTGAGGTCATTTCAGGCTTCCAGCTGGGTGCAGAGGATGAAGTGTTAAGGCTGCTGTAATCCTTACTTTGTTGTACCACTGTGTTCATTCAAAAGTAGAGATGCCTTTTTACCCTTATTTTAATTTCTTAGATGAAATATGATGCTTCCCTCCAGCCTTCACCTGAGTAGTGCTGAAAAGAGTAGTTGATTAATTATTAGATGAACAGAACAAAAGCTGATGGCAATTTTGATTAATTTGTCAGAAAGCATCCAGTAATCAAGTGTATCTCTGGGTTTTGAGATGTTGGCTGAAGAAGAAAACTTTTTAAGACTGCTTTCTGGTATGTGTAATTCGTAGGGGCATTCTCGGTACCTTGTGACCTCTATAGATTAACTTACATAAAAGTAATCATTAGTTTAACAGTGTGCTGCACATTTGTCTATGGTGTTGCTTTATACTCTCATCCAGCTGTGCTGCTGGCCTGTCTTTTCTTAATTCTGTGAATGTCTGAAAGTCAATCCAGCTGTCTGCATAGGATAGAACTGATTGTTCTCTCCGTCTGGATAGAACATTCAGTAAGCTTCTAGTTTATCTTTGACCACTCCTCTTGATGGAATTGGTGCAGTTAAACTTTTTTTTTTTGTGGCTTTCTGATGCAGATTTGTTTCTTAATCACATTCAATAGGTTCTTGAAGGGGTTTGGGTCAGTACTTTGGGGAGATGAGTCTAAAACCTTAGCTCTTGCCTAAGTTAGCCATTTCTTTTGATGTGTGTTTGGGGTCATTGTCTTGTTGAAACACCCAACTGCATCTAAGACCGAAACTTCCAACTGATAATTTTAGCTTTTCCTTGAAAATGTGGAAGTAATCCTCATTTTTCACTATTCAATATACTTTGTGTAAAGCACCAGTTTCACTGGCAGCAGAACAGCCACATAGCGTAATATTACCACCACCGTGCTTGACAGTAGGTTTGGGGTTCTTGGGGTTAAAGCCTGACTTTCTCTCTTCTAAACATATTTCCGGTCATTATGGCCAAATAACTCAATTTTTGTTTCACCTGACCACAGAACTTTCCTCCAGAAGGCCTTTCTTTAATTTGTCCGGCAACAAACTTCATTCAAGCATTAAGGTGTTGCTGCTTGAGGAAGGGCTTCCTTCTTTCATGGCAACCACTCAGCTCATTGCGATGTAAACACATTTGATCGTGGATACTGACTCCTGTGTTAAAGCAGCTTCTAATTCATTGCAGACCTGCTTTTTGGTGATATTTGGTTGACTTTTTACCATCCTGACCAACTGTCTCTCAGCAGTAGATGATACTTTGTGTTTTCTTCATGAATGTGACAGTGACACAACTGTAATATGCACTTTATATTTACAAATAATTGCTTGTTTGTATGATTTTAGGATCTCTAGCTTTAAAATGGCTCCAAGTGACTTTCCTGACTTGTTTAAGTAAATGATGCTCAAACCTAACCTCAAATTTCAATGTGCGAAATATGTGCTGACAATGTGTCATTGAGCAATGTAAATTAAATAAATAAATAAAATGCCCAGGTAAGTATCTGATATATCAATCCAGAATTTCAGAGATAGCTTTTTAAATACCCATAGTTGATATGATAATAAATACAAAATGTCAATTGTGTAATTGTGTAAACGTACCTGTGATTTTTGGACAGCCTGTGAAGCTGTAGTGCCTGTGTGTCATTACAATTATGACCAATCGCTGGCTGTGGGCCTTTCCATCCAGTGACTTGCAATGTCGCATCTGGTTGGGGAACCATACAGCCGAAATCCTATTAGACTATGAAGAGGAAAATTGATTATTCTGAGCCTGAGAAATGGATGGAAGAAGACATTACAATGTGTCAATGCTGGTGGGTGGCCTTAATTATTATAGCAGAGGTGTTTGCTGTGGTCTGGTCTTTCTCAGGAACACATTCTTGGTGTCAGAGCTGAAGAGCTCCCTGTCACTTGATAACCATGTAACGCTACACCACTTGAATATTGTGTTTAGAGCAATGTGATTGACAGCACTGGAAAAAGCATTTAGACAATCATGTAGCACTTCTCTCCACCAATGGCAAATAGGCATTTTTATGGTAGTCTTTTCAAAAGCATACCCTGTTACAGTACTGCAAATGTTAAAAACACCACAAAATATATAGTTTAGAATGAAATACGTCAGCACTTGTTGTAGTCTATTTTCAGCTCTGTAACAGTCCACATTTGGTGTTGTAGTGTGTATTTGTACCAGCAGGATAGTATATGTGAACTGAGTCATAACACACTGCAGTGTGCGTGTGTTTATGGTCTATCAGGGACTGACACATAATGAACCGCAGTGTATATGTTCATTGTGCATAAGAAACATGTCACCCAGTGCAGCAATGTGGCTCACTGATATGTTTCTAATATTTTAAGAACAACAGTGGAGGTCTGCAGCAATGTTCACTGTACAGGAAAAATGATTACATATTTAAGGCCTCTAAGTGCATGCTCAATGAAGTGTCACAAGAAATAGTTACAAAAATAATCTGACTGCCTACAACCTCTAATGAGGTACCTGTCATCAGCAGGCAGCACTTGAAGGGTCTGTATGTTACCATCTTGTAATGCCACACTGACCAACGGGACACTCTAATATTGATGGGTGTTAGTCAAGGGAATGACCTTTTCAGAAATACCGTTTATTCGGCCTAGCAGGCTTTGACAGGTCAGTGCTTGAGACCTGTGGCTTCACTGTAATCACTGATGAGCTGAATCCTGATTTTCATTCAGGCTTCACATAACTTTATTATGGCCTGTGCTGTGTGAAAGATGCCACTAATTCTGTCTTATTCCAATGAGACATGCTATTCCACATCTGTTCAGCAACACACTGATGCTCTGCCTAACAAGTGGCCTTTTCACAAGGTGGCTTTTGGATTACTTAAAAAATCTCAAGACTGTCTTATGATGGAATAACATCTGCTATGGTGCTCATCAATACATTGATATTTTGATCCAAGAATTTTGTTTTCATTCCTATATAATTACACGAATGCTTGATCATACCCGTTTTAGAATGTGGTCTTCATTTTGATGTCTACTTCTACTATGTACCTGTAAAGTTTCATGATTGCATCTTACACTTTTTAGAGAAAGTGTGTTGACAAAATCTATACACAAACAAACAGACGGACACACATATAAATACACAAACAAAAGTCCTTAAAGCTGCCTTTTAGTAGTTGCCGTTAAAGCAGGTGTCTCCAGGACTAGGGATGGGTACCGAACCCCTTGGCAGAATTTTTAAATACTGGGGGATCAATAAGCTCAGCCAGGCCAATGATTGCTTGGCCCCTACTATCCAGGACCATATTTTGACATGATTAAACACACACACATAGACTCATGAGGTGAAAACAGGATTAGCTATGCCATTGCAGTCGGCAATTATTAATGTTTTGAAGTGAAAGGTGTACCATGTTCTTCCTTGCCAATAGGGTGTGTTTCCAATGATGGAAATTAAAATTATGTAAATGTGTAACATCATCCTCACCTGAGGCTTTGACAGCATGGTAAATGCTTGGCGTGTTCAGAAATCTTATTCAAATGTAAGTCAAAAAAGTTGTTCTGAAAGCTTTACTGCTGCTTTCATTTCAAGTTTAGTTTATATCAAAACCCACTATATACTTGTCCAAAGATACACATGAGGGAATGTGCTGTGGAAATAATCAGTCAAATCCTCTTGTAACAGTTTAAAACTAAGTTGACAAAGGACCCTCAGGGCTGTTATGGCAGAGATCTCCCATACCAGACCATCCCTTTAAATATCCAAAAGACTGAACGATTTACGGACTTCAATGTGAGTTTAAATCATTTTCCAACTCATACATGGCCGTTAATGTAAAGAGAAAATATAGTGGCCTTACAACAACTTTCGATGATTTATAGTATAGACATATGTTACCATAACAGCAGTTATGCAGATCTGCCAAGACTGAAGTGGACTGGATAAACAGTTGCTCATTTTAAAAAAAAATATGCTGACATATTTTAAAGCCATCAGTTTATTTCCAGTGCTATATTATTCAAATCTTTAATTTTAAATGTATGTGTATTTATATATTATTTATATACTTTTCGTATTTGCCTTCAGTGCATCTTGTGATAAATGTTGACCAACTCGCATGATTAATTAATTTGTTGCTTACTTAGTTTTTTCTGGTTCATATGATTACTTTTTTGCTTACTTTTATGGATTGGTAACTTTTGTATTTGCTGATGATGCATACTGATGAGAGATCTCACCTGTAAATCTCTGGGGATTTTTAATTTCAGTTGCACAATCTATTTTTATTGTTCTGTGTACTTTTTATTTTATTGTGCAAAAAGTATAGAGGGTCTGTTAGCAGCACACCAATATGCAACAGAGTGAACCAGTTTTAAAAGAATTCTTCAGGATGCTGTCTTCAAATTCATGAGCTCAACGTGAGGCTGTTGTTGTGAGTTACTTCGAAGTAGTAGGTCAGAGATTCTTCAGTTTAGTTTTAAGTTTCACAGACTGAGTTGCTAAAATGCCTGATACTGAATAAAATTATGCCATTTGTAGCAGTTGCTCAGTGCTTCCAAAGTAACTCAGT